AACATATTATCAGAGAAAGGGAGAGAGAGAGAGAGAGGAGTTCATAGAAATTTTTGAATACAATTTGTCCGTGGTGGGCAGCCTGACTAGCAGATCTGCTCAGCCGCGGTCTATTGGCCATCCCCCCCCCCTACTTTACAACAATTGCACCTTCTTCCCGTTGCATCAGAAGAGAGAACTCGAAGTCTGCCAACCACCTTGTCGTACACATCAGTTTCACTGTTTTTTCGACCCTTTCGCACATACTTCCATATACCCAATATACACACACACACATTGTCTGTGTGGTCCTATTTATCTCCAGGTTTTCTTCTTCCTGGAGGAGGAAGCCTTTTAGCCGCCGTTAGCTTCTAGGAAAGTAAGTACTTTCGAATGGCCTCAGGAAGAGCCAAACTCACGTTCTACAACTCCTCTACAAGGACTAATCGGGGCAGTCCAACACTTAGCCCACTAGAGCAGTGATCTCGACAACTGCCGTAGTAGACCTACACGCTGTTCCCCCCACATTTGGTAACAAGGAGAAGAATTGGCAAAGTTTGAGGTAGTTCCTTTCCTCTGACCTGAACAACTAAAGCCACAGTAAACCTAAATGAGCTCCGGATAGTATCATAGCAGCAGCAGCAGCAGCAGCCTAGATTGCATTGATCTTTCAAATGGTGGATTTATTCGAGTGAAAAGTAAAGAGATCGTCAATGATAACCACGTTGTGGCAATAAAGCTCTGATTAGTTCGTGTGAAGTCGGAGGTAGCCGAATTCTTAAAGCAGTAGAGGATGCAAGAGTAGAGTAAAAGAGAGAGAGAGAGAAAGAAGTGAACGAGTTCAATAAGAGAATGAGGAGAGCTGATATCGCTTACCAGTAACCGGGAAAGAACACCCCCAGTCCGATTAGAGGAATGGGAATCAGATGACATTCCCAATCTTTGGCCGGAGTCTGTAGATTCCGCCTCCAAATCCCCTGAGGAGTCCACACTTTGCCCATCCGCCTGTTGAGCGAAATCTCCGCCACCCATCACTTTGGAGGCCTCCGTAGAGGGGAAAGGGAGAGTGTGGACAATGACTTCAGCCAATCGGGTGTTTTGGCTCAGGAGGGGATTTGTGGTGCCGCAGAGAAATCCCCTAACACGACGACTGTAGATGGCGAGGGGATCGGGAGTGATGTCACCTTCGGAGGGTCGTCGAAGTTCCAGAAGTATGTCCAGGGCATGGAGGGGAATGTAAGGAAGCAATAGGTAAGACTGAAATACAGAAAAAAGCAGGTTAGGATAAGTAGACAACTTCACCCCTCACAGACAAGAGGACTTGCTAAGCGCGCATAGCACTGGCACAACCCCGCCCAATTTAAATGCTTACACATTACACAGTTTGGTTGTCATAGCCGAAATTCGATTGAAAAAAAATGCATACAATAGAGTTGCCAGCTATACTTGAAAATGTCTTGACAGACATATCCAGCTCTTACAAAAGACACGACAGATGATTCATTTGAAATAATTGACAACTCCAGTCTTGAAGCGCTCTAGGATAAATTTAAGGCTCTTCTGAATACATGATTGAATGTGAAATTAGCAAGAACTAGCAATAACACATAAAAATATTAGTCATGTGATATCTAGCACATTTTTTAAGGGATATTGTTGGAGGCAGTTGCTTTTTGTCTACTAAAACTTATTATTAAATTCATACGATTGTGCACGGGTGAAGGGTTGAATCAAGGAGTGGTCTCGTCTCCAAAAACCCAGATCTCTATGATCGATTACTGGGGTGTGGGATAGACTTACCACCTCGAGGTGCACCCTGGGCAACGTATACTCAGACGGCAAAAAAGTCCATTGCTGGGCAACGTATATTCATACGGCAAAAAAGTCTATTAAAGGCAGTTGACTTCTAACTTCAAACTACCATGACCCCATTGTGGCAGTTGACTTCTCACTTCAAACTACCATCACCCCATTGACGGGCAACGTATACTCATACGGCAAACAAGTCTATAAACCAATGGGCAACGTATACTCAAACGGCATACCTCCACGTGGTGCACCCTGGGCAACGTGTACTTACAACCTCCATGTGGTGCACCCTGGGCAACGTATACTTATGCGGAAAAAAGTCTATTGACTGGTAGTTGACTTCTCACTTCAAACTACCATCACCCCACTGTATAGTTGACCACTGACTTCAAACTACCATGACCCCACTGTATGCCTTGACTTCTGACTTCAAACTACCATGACCCCACTGTATGTTATGACTTCTGACTTCAAACTACCATCACCCCACTGTATGTCTCATTCGACCCCTTTCACAGTACTCATCTTACCCTTTTCTCTGCCTTTTTGCCTGTCTGTCTGTCTCTGTTACATATGTGAATCATTATTCCCTCCCCTCCACTCTCGACTTTTTGTCACTTTGATGTTCCTCCTCCTTTCTGTGAAGCCCGAAATCAGCTAAATGGCTAATGATAACTATCAAAACGCCTATCATTTGAAATAAATATAAATGATCAATTATTCGACAGTTTCCTCACTTATCAATGACATTCAAGCCTTGCGCAAACACGATCTCATCAATTGATATTTGATCAGGAGAGAACCACTGCAAGCTAACCACCAACCTTAATGGAGGAATGTGATCATAGGAAGAACAAAGTTTCTCAGTGAATTGATATCTTTATCAAATAGATAAAAGTTCGCGCAAATTAATCAAAACACCACACTCCCATACCTCTTGAGGAAATATTCATGGGAAAGAGCTAAAGCACTCGTTGCTACATTAATGGGGGCGGGGTTAAGTTCTAAGGCTCAAAAAAATTAATCGTTCTAACCCGAGAGAAAAGAGCCAAGGGAAGACCCCAATCATCAGTTGGTAGGGCGGAATCGAACACGGAACCATCGGTGAGAGGTGGGAGGGCGGAGTAGACGTCATGAGGAGCTGTATGTGATGACAGCGCTTGGGAGGATGCGAGGGAGCCCGTCTGGTGAGCAGTGGAATGTGAATTTGTAGGTTGTTCAACGGAGGTGGCGGCGGTAGTGGAATCAATCGAAGATGCTCGAGAAGTTAGCACAGAGGAGGCTGTTTTTGTGACGTTGGACCACAGACTGGTGGCTCCAGTTCGAAGAGCACCAGTTCGAGACGGAGCTGCAATAATTGCGTATCAATAATAAAAGAAACCGCGTTTAATACCAAGTGTTCAAATGGTCGATCACTACGTGTTTCAGGGCAACAAGAAGTTGAAAGTCAATTTCAAAATGAAAAGGAGCAGTAAAGGCATATATTTAATAGCATCGTAGACGACTCTATTGAAATGACATTTAATAATTTCCATGGCAATACTCCCGAGTGAGAACTGCACATATTAGAAATATAAAGGATATCAACGTCTTCTCCGTAATTAGACATCCCCCCCCCCCGAAATCGCAACTAAGCCAAAGAAGTAGTAAAATTGAAATCCAATGAAATTTTTTTGATTCAAACTTACCAGAATCAGTTGGAGTGGTAGGCAGCATTTCCTCCCCCTAAAAAAAAAAACGAAAAAACATAGAAAAACTCTTTTAATGCACCCTCTTCACCATTTTCCCACTTTTGACAATCGATTTCACTAACATTACCCCCATCAATGAACATTCTTGCCAACATTATCGATTCACAACCAATCAAAAAACCACATGGCAAATTGATAAATAGATCAAGAGTGGGGCAAATTAACACCATCTCATAGTAAATTTACAATTTCCTGAAACTATAGCGTTGTGATCGCCGCTTCTAAGTATTACACACTCCGCCCATACACACCGATGCAGGGGCAATGAAGAATTGTAGGTCACTATGATGGAAGTGTTTGGCCAGGGAAGCCATTAGTCAATAAGGCATCAAATTAGCAAGAACTTCATAATTTCAGA